GTCTTTGGATCTCTTGAGAAAATTCACCTGTAGCTCAAAGTGCTAAATGTGGTGTGATAGGTACCTTGCAGTTGGAAACAGTGAGAAGTTACTGTCTTGCATGTACTCCTGGACTGACAGAAATAAGCATTGTTCTGAACTTACCATAATAAAAATAGACGTCAAACACCAAGAAATGTGAGAAATCATTTTCTTTATTTTGTGACAGTCCAATTTCAGTGATAGTCCAATCTCATCCGTGATAAAGTTGATATTTCTTTTATTCCATTGATAGATTCCTTAATTTTTTTTGCAACTGGCCTCAGATGGAAATATCTTTTTCAGAGAAGGAGAGAAGAGGTTGGCAGAAAAACAATTCTTTACGGAGCAAGTCAAATGAAGTAAGAGATATTTTTGTGTATTCTGAAAATTATGTTTAACATTTTAGGGATGCTTAGTCAGAAGAAATGTTTTTTGTCTCTTTAAGCTTTGCAAACACTTCATTCCTTTAAAGGAAGTCTGTGGAAATATTTCCCATGAGAATATAAATATTCAGGGGAAAAAGGGAACCGTTTATGCTGACATATATTTTTTTACTCAGTTGTTTCTGGCAGAGGTGCCTGTTCCCCAAATATACCTAAGCAGGCAGATACACAATGACAAGCACTTCTACAGTGATGTAACACAAATTTATGTTCACAGTAGCACACATACATACATACATACCTAGCAGAAGCTTGGCACAGGAAGAACACAAGAGAACCAGTAATGGAATAAAAAAACTTTATTATCTCATGCACAACTGGAAAGAACTTAATGAAGATGATCCTTTATGGAAACAAAATTGTTCTCTTCTTCCAGTGACAAGAATCACTTTTATAGACACAGTTCTTACTTCAGTCTAGAACTCTGCTCTGTGTCCTTTGCAAATGTGTTTAGGGTTATCACTTTTAAGTTAAGCCTTCTGTGGTTTTCTCCTTGATTTGTGGCTAATATATTCATGCATGTGTACCGCGAACTTCACTCAACCCGCTCCTGCATAATAAGATCTGGTTAAAAGTCATTTCCCATTTCCTTTTTTCAGTGTCTTTCCTAAGAAATGTTCTAGTGCATGAATATTTTAAAAAAAATAGGACTAGGTGAAGTGAGTGCTTTGACAAAAGATATCAACTGAGACTAAAATCCTTGACCTGAATCAGGCAGAGAAGGGAATTAAGCCAGTTTTCTTGTCTTGCTGTGTGACAGAGCCACCATGTCATGGATAACACTGGATAGATTGTCTCTCTCTGTGTTTGAAATTTCAGGCAGAATTTCAGGGAAACCTTCATTGACCAAGAACAACTGAAACAGACCTTCTCAAAGGAGTTTCAGCCTTTCCACAGAACAGTTTTGTCAACTGAACAAAATATCACAACCAGTGAACTTGTACCATTTTCTAAAACAGCCAAGAGGCTTTGGGACTATGGGATTAATTTTCAAAACTTTATACTCTTAGAAGACTTAATCTTACTTCATTTCCTTGAGGGTGAGAACCGTCAGCATGAATTTACCACAGGTCAAATGAAGATTATAGAAAGCCAAAGGCAGAGAGGAGCATGTAACCACAGAATAAACCCTGATGGCATTAGGAATGTGGTGCTTTCTGAGCCTTGGCAGAGGTGACTGACTCCAACACAGGAGCTCTTAAATCATAACACACGTTTATTGAAAATGCATCTGCAAAGAATTTCATCCTAATGAAGCAAGTAAGAGGAACTGAAATTGCTTAGTATATACCTTTAGAAAATCTTATTCATCTTAATATATTGGCACTGCTACAATTAATAGCCTGTTTGAATTTCCCTTACACTTTCTATTACAGGAGGCTCATAATTCAGGCATAAAATTTTTACTCTTGGCTGAAAGTTGTTATTTAATATCTTAGCTCATTTCATGTAGCTTTTCTGCACAACCCAGCTCACTTCCCACCAACAGAAGCTGCTATACAGGATTCCCCAACCTAATCTGCTGGTAAGGAGTCAGCAAGCTCTGTTGTTGTCTGATGTAAAGTTTGTAAGAGTGTATTTTTAAAAGAAACACCTGGGTCTGCCCAAGAGCAGATGGGGTAAGAGCTCAGGAAGTGGGTCTTTTAACTAAATCTTTTAACACAATCAGAGAATCACCCTAGCAATTTACTGACTTCTTATTTGCCTATCACCAGTATAAAGAATTTGTCACCTTGAGCAAGGATCCTACTGGCACACAGGTTTTTGGGCGGGGGTGGTCTTATACTGGAGGCAGAAGAAAAAAACATAGTATGTCCATTGAGAATGAGGCTGAGAACAGAGGAGCAAGAACAGCCCAACAGCTGCAAACAGACAGCCACCTAAGGGGTAACCAGGGGCCATACTCAAAAAACTGTTCATGGACAGGTCAAAGAAATGAGCCAGAAAGAGAATGGAGGCAGAACCATGTCTGGTTGAGACTTTTACTATGGTAAAAGAAGTGATAACACAGGGATTCTTTCCAGATTGGTCCTTACTGTTCATTCTGACTCAGGTCATGACTCACTAACACCAGATCTGCAAAGGATCAAATCCCTTTGGCATATAAATCTGATCCACATCAGCCATGGATGCAAACTGCACTTCTGTTGAATATCCAGACCAATTATGATGTTTATGAAGGTTTTTACCATGACGTGAAGACAGACAACATCGTAATTAGCAAATGCAATTTATGTTGAGATGATGGTCTGCAGATGGAACACAAGATTTTTTTCTGATCTGGCAATAGGAGTTCAAAATCCTAACTTACTACACCCTCAAATTATTATACCAAATGAAAGGTGTTGAGTTACATACCATCACAACACATTTCCTTTCCCTTAAGGCATTATAGGCTTTCTACACTCTCACTTTTATAACCATTTCTTTGAATATTTTTGGTAATTTGCTGAATTTTATATGTGTCCATTTCTTGAACTTTCCTCTAATTTTTGAAAATTCAAAAAAATCAGAATTAAGATCTGCTGCCTTTTTTTTTTTAAGTTTATTTTCTCCAAAACACTTCCAGAGCATCACCTTCTACTATTTTGTAATAAAATTGCATGAAACTGCTACAGGTGACTTAGCATATCACTTATCATATGATCTGCAAGACCACAAGGAAAATTACTTTAAAAAGGAAATTAGGAAAAAGGAGGAGTAGCCAGTGCTATTAAACTACTGAGACTGTATAGAATTTTTTTTATGTAGCTCTAAGTGAAGCTGTGAGAATGTCACCTGTGGAACAGTGGTCTCCATCAACTAGAGTGGAACTGGCAGTAAAGATCTCCAGTTTCTATTCCCAGCTTTGCCATTTACAGAACAGAAAGTCACTTTCCTTCTCTGTTCCTCAGCTTCCCCAATTATAAAACATGAATATCATTACTGACTCATTTCACAGAAAATCTTAGTGATGCATTTAATCAAAATACTTAACTGAAAAAATATATATGAACCTTCCTTGAGGAAAAGAAAATAAACCTGCAGTTAACATAGTTCACAAAAAGAGGAATCAGAACAAGTAGAAAATGAGTTGTAAAATGCTCATTTTTTAAGAACTTCACCAAACTATAAAGGCTATCACCCATGACAGCATGCTAGAACAGAGTTCATATGAAAGTGTAACCCTACAGATGATAATAGATGAGCACTGAATAAGCAGCCACTGAGGAAGTTATGTTTCTATGAATAATTTGACCAGAAAACACTGTTCTTTTTTCAGTTTTATGTGTGTCATGTCAGAGCATGATGAGATTTTACCAGTTCTTGTGCACTGAGGCAGATTTCTCATAAACTGGTTAAATCCACATATTTTAAGTCGGAGATTGGTAGAGTTTTTCATTTGCCTTAAAACTAACTTGCTGTTTAGGGTCTTATACATAACCTCTCTTCTTGCATGAGAGACAATAACCTCTCACTTGTACTGTTATTTTTCAGTGAGATACACAGATCCTGAATTACAACTTCATGTAGTATGGGAGATCATCTTTAGCCCAGAGTTCCCACTAAAATACTTCCTCACTTTGCTCTACATTGACATTTTAATTTTGAAGAGAGAATTAACATTACAAATACATACAAAATTCAACTAATGAGGTACTCCAGTACTTGGTTTGGATTAACAGAGTTGATTTGGTAGTATGTATTTGGATTAGAGTTGGAAGGTGTATTTCTGATATTTGAAGTGAGAAAAAAACCAACTGAACTAGAAAGGTTTATAAATTCACAAATAAAATGATATATTATTCATTTGAAGCCATCTCTCTACAGCTCAGAAGATTTTCTCTACTGTGACAGATTGGAAAACTCCAGTACAATTTGTCTTTTCAAGCTGTCCCTGAAAGAAGATTCTGGGGGAAGTTTTTCAAGTGAAGAAACGTGCTGTCTTCGCTTTTAGCTTATATCCAAGCTACTGAACTGAGAACATTTTATATCCTGTCAGTTTTAATGTTTGTTAGTCTACTTTTATAATTGTGTCACTTGTGAGATTTTGTTAGAACAGAGACTGGGGTCTGTAAAAATGTGAGGTGTGAACATAACACAGTAATTCACAGAGAGCTTTGTTTTCACAAACAATCCAAAACAGAGGATTTGCAAACCCTCTGGTACTCCCAGACAGCTCTGTCAGCTCAGGCTTTGTCCTGCCTCTCATGTGGAAAGTGGAACCAGTTCCTTACTCCAGAGCAGTGAATTCTGCCTTGTACTCACTATCAAGGCACATTTTTTCCTTATTGTGGCACGTGTTTCTTGATTCCCTTGGCCAAGTACTTCCTTATTTGCCAAAATACTGAAGAGAACCAAAGTTATTTGTGATTTCAAGTGAAATTTTGTCTAGGTAAGTGTCAAACATGGCAAGCAATAAGAGAAGTCAACGCATTTTGGAATAGCAGAAACATTCTGCATTTAGGTTATATAATAATTTCATATTGGCTTTTCATTAGGAAACATTTTAGAAGTCACTATGAAAATTAAAGAGAGAAGTAGAAAAAAGAATTAACTCATTTAATTTGATTTTGGAAAAAATTAACGTTTCAGTGGTGGGTCAAGTTGATAGCTTATCTGAGATTTACTTGGCTGTTCTGAGAAGCAGTTTTCTTGGAAGGTAGGGTGTTTCTGTGCCAGGTTTTAAAATATTCAGGCAACAATATATGCCCTTGTGATTAATCTTTCTGATAGCCAGTGTTCTGATCTTGCAATACTGAAGTTCTGTTCTCATGGTCACGTACCAGTTGCTTATTGGTGTTGCTGGAATAAGATTATAGCTCTGCTGGTCAGCCAGAACCCTGGTCCTATGGCAAAGTGGAAAGAATAGCAGTCAGCTTTGTCTGGATAAGGAGTGTGCACATGGAGAACCTTGGAGACAATCTGGTCATACAACTTGTGCTTCTTGGTAGCCTCTCTGTGTGCCTGCATGTGCTTCAGCTTCCATTTCCTTCAGGGAACAAACACTAGGATATTTTCTTTGCCTACACAACACTCAGTAATATTTTAGGCTGAGCATTTTGCTTCCTGCCTTCTGTGTGTTTTCTCTACCTTAAGCAGCAATGTCTGCTCTCTCAGATAGTGTCTGCCTATTCTGCTCCCCCCTTCCTTTACCTTGAACTTTTGTATTTGTTCTGCATTAATGGCTATTAATGTTTTGATCCTTTTCACTCTACAGCCTCTCTCTGTCTCAGGTCACAGTTCTCATCAGACTTATTACTTATTTCAATATTTCAGGAGTTATTCCTGGTAACAATGTCAATCATTTTATGTCCTTGCTTCACAATGGGAGAGCACAGACAGAAAAAAAGAAAAATGAAAAAAGTAACTCCCAATTTTACCTTCATTTTTTTCATCATCATTTTCTGTAGGTGTTGCATTTTTTTCCTTCTTATTTGCATTTCCTGCCATGCTGTGGGTGCCATGAGTCTGCCCAGTGACATCAAATTTCATCTTGGGAATGCTGAATAGTAACAGCTTGAGCTCTACAGTCAAATTGTTCTTTATCTGCCACTTACAGAAATCCCAGAACTGTGGCAAATGTCTGAGTCGTGCACATAGATTTGCACTGTCTGGTCTTCACTTTTCTCTCTTTCAACTTGTACTCCTCATCTAAGTGCCATCCAATTTATTACTTGCATGAAAGACTCCTTAAAGCATAAGAATTGAAAAGGCTTCAAATGTTGCAGGTTTTCAGCCATAATTGCTGCTCAGCTTCAGCCTTATCTTCATGGGTAGCACTAACACCATTTGTTATTTGCTCTCTTTCGGGTACGACATGAAGGTCAGCAATAGTGTACAAACAGGGCCTACACTTCTAAGGTTTATTGAGTCTAAAAAGAGCTAATTAAAAGTTAATTAACCAGCATGCCATACTACATAACTGCAACTTTTCTATTAATAAAATGTAGCATCAGGAGCACAGACTTTTCTATTTCAGCATTGTCTCTGACTGCTCGTGGGAACCAGTTCACTATGAGAGTTCTGTACTCTGAAGCCCTGGGGTCAAGTTCCTCCTTCACCTATACAAATGTGTTTTGCACAAACCCCATCTCTTCTTGCATACTTTTTCTGAAAGCCCTGTTGTATATCTGTACTCTATTACTCAGTGCACAGGGAGAAGAGCTATTAATATGGACCATTCAATAACTAATGAATGACTGAATGGAAAACAGTTTTCCATTTATTTCAAATAAAAATAACGATAGACTTACCTTTCTAAATAGGAGGGAAACATGGTGTCACCATCCACATTTCTCAGAAGTAAATATATTTGTTACTGATAAGGAACTCTCATGAACTAGTTTTTTAAGCTTCTTTTGTGGTTGTTCATTTAGGTAGAAAAGAACCAAATTCCCAAGCTCGGTTAAAAGCATTTGAGACAAGGTGCACAGAGTTATGAGATAAGACCTATCCACCTCCTTGCACATGAGTAATCAAGGAACTAAAAGCAAGTGCAAGGTAATATTAACTGAGATAAACAGCTGGAAAGTAGAAGGGAATTCTTTCCCTTCACTGGAAAAGAAATCATGCTATTAATAGCTGTGATTCACTAATGAAAACAAGCCTTTGAAATTATTTGTCTTCATCATATCTTGCATGAATATTTAAAGTTTGCCTAGAATTATCTTTCATGTCAGACATTTAGAAAGTCAGTTTACCTGAAGCAGACAGTACTGATGGAGTAAAAACACTGTGAGTTCTCTGTTAACTTCAGGGCTCAGGGCTAACAGTCCCTCCTTTGCCTGAAGAAGGAAGCTCTGAGCAATCGGGGCAGAAGGTAAGGATGTCATACAGTGAGTTTAGATAGGACCACATGTCTAGAAAACTAGTAGCTGGAAGTATTCAGAGGGTGTGAATCCTTCTGTTCCACATCAGAAAATGAGAACTTACATATTTGCCTGAAAGGCAGGAGTAGACTCTTTACAATAGAACTGCTTCCTGGACAGCTGGCTTTTTGCAGATGGATATGTCCACATTTCTTCAGTGTGGCAAACTTTTACTTAAAACATTGAAGAACATTATAGTATTCATTCTGGCACCAACTCAAAATTCTCTTGATATTGAACTTCCTCCCAAACCAATGGTTTGCCTTCACTGCCTAAAAATGTTCTTTATCTGCATGTGTGGACACATAGAGTACACTTGGTGAAAAAGTCTTTCCATGAGCTTTAGGTCTCCTTTAGGCTTTCTGCTTTTTCAGGCACATCTGTGGAAGTTATTTCAACAACATTTATTTTCCCTCACTTTCTATGCAGCTGTTCTGACAAAGCTATCATATGAACACAAAATTTCCCTCTCTGTTCTGGTCTCTGAGTTAGCCTGTAACTCCAAGGAATTAACATGTGTGATAGGTCTCTTCCTTGCATAAGTTTTTTGAAATAAAGACTAAGAAATGAGTCTCAGTAATGCAGCTTTGTCAATGAAGACTTTTCAAAGTACTAAAACTAAATCACACCCTATCCAGATGTTATGGAATTCACACTCCTTTCTAAAGTACCGGATGAAAACTTAGAACACATTTCTGGAACAACAGAACACCAAAGCTACACATTAAAAGTATTTCAAAGGCACTTTGATTAACTGAGCTATAGTCATGTATTATGCCAATTGATCTCTGTTTCTTTCTTGCCAAGTATTGTTTCTCACCTCCAAAATAAACTGACCGTGTTCAGGAGTGACCTTAAAATTGCCATTAGGGAGAGATGACTCAGAGTAAAGCCTCAAGATATTCTATGTCTATGAGATCATGGGTTCCTGTGAATCTCTTCATTCTGAGGAGATGCTGCTGTCATCTTCCATTATCTTAAAACATGCAGGGCCAAACAAGTGTTTTAGATGACAAATCTGACACTGGTGTTCTTAAAAGACATTTTTTAGAGTTGCAGCCATGATTGCCAATGACTTTGGGATAACACACTTCAAGTTTTTGCTGGCACTTAAGGGTAGTTCAAGGTAGATAACCAGGATGATCATATTTATCTTCTTCCTTTTTAATTAGCTACTTTATATGCTTATATAAATACCTCGAAATACTAAAATTCAAAGGACATTCCAATTCTTAATTATTGAACAACTGAAATGTAAGATATCTCTCTGGTTTGGTACCTATCTGGTGTTTTTCACCAAGACTCACTAGGGAGCTATTATTTACATTTTATGAATTTAAACACAATATGTTGAAGTTGTTCTAAAGTGAATTCCTGATTTTTGGATATAACCATTACTGAATCAGCTTCTTTACCACCATGAATAATTCTGTTGAATTCAATAGAGATAAAGCAGGTATAAAACAGATACACTGAAAGATCAGATTCTAAACCTCAAGTATTTAATTTTAGGTATTCAAAGTATAAAACAAGAAAGAGTTGAAAGCAATTAGGCAACTCGAATTTGGGTTACAAGAAAATTGGTGTTTTAATATATGTATGGGAAAACTATGGAAAATTCTTTTTTAATGAAGAGATACAGAATGAACTCATATGTAAATATACTGTATCATGATGTAATAATTACTGAAAATATCACATCTTTCGAAATCAATGGTGTCAATAGACTATTTAAAAAAAAAAAAGCTACTTTAACCTTTTGCTAAAAATGGGATTTTGACCTTGTCTAAGTGCAATGTGCATAAGAGTTTGCTGCATAATTTTCTACCCTAATTAACATTTGTGTTATGTAAATTTGGTAAAGCAGTCAAAAGCTAAAATCTCAAATGAAGTTTGCATCCAAATACAGTATCGCAAAATGATTCTAACTCTGTTTCACCACTATATATTTCTTTTGTCAGAAAAAATCTGACTCAGAAGACCACTACCAGCCTTAATCTACCTTTTCCTGACCAACAGCTTTAAGCTGCTGAAGAGACTCCCCAGAACAACTCCCTTACTGAGTGATACTGTCGTCATACTACATTATTCATCTGAGCTTTTGCTCTAGGAATAGGATACTTCCATGCTGGTCTCCTGAATCCCAGAGCAAGAGGAAGTTATTCATCTGATGAATCATAATATGTCTGGAGACATTAAATGCTTGCCAGCAAGGAGAAATGAACTCGATGAAAACATCAACAGTAAAAAATCTTTGCTAAGGAGAGTTACCGTACTTATAGCACATACTATGTAAAAAGGTGTTAAATCTAAATAGATGCCAAAAGAAATTAAAAAATGGGTAAGAAACACCTGTATTCTCTTAAAATGAAAAGGTTTGCTTCATGAAAATTTCAAATATCAAGCACAACTCTGTTAGAAATTATCATGGGGCTGTTCTGTGTTCCCAGCTTAGTATTTAACATTTGTATTGGGATCCTTCCAATAATCCTGAAAGGTGTTTGGGGTTTTTTCCTGGTATTTAGAATATGATATTTATTCTCACTTCTATTCATAACGAATAGTGAATGTCTTATACAAATATCTAACGTTTCTTAGAGATGAAATTCCGTGACCCTGTGTCTTTTCAGCAAAATTCAGGAGTCAGTCTGCTTAGGAGATTTTCCAATAGGAAGTCATACTTACTGTACAGGTTATGTTATTTTGATTGTATATTGTTACATGCATATATCTCTAACATTGCTTATTATCTAGTGTACATGGTTCAGCACAGTTTAAAATTAACTTTTTTGGAGGATAGTCGTGTTCTTACATTTTAACTACTTAAACTTTATTAAGACCATGTGACCAGATCAATTATAGATAAAGGTGGTGAATAAATCTGGGTAAATTACGGGTTTGGGGGGGGGATGCTGAAATTAAAAAATTAGAAAAAACCCAGCCAGTAGAATGCTTTCACTTCTCAGGGAAAACAAAAAAAAAGAAGAAAAACAATGTATGGTCAAACAAAAATGCTGTTTGATACACACAGTAAAAACATGTGTCATCAGGGGTTAATTAACCTTCTGAATTAACAGAGGTCAACTCATGTATAAACATAAAAGCATGAGCTTTCAATTTAATATTTCTCACCAAATCAATTTTTTCCATTATTTCGTACAAAAAATCTGCAAAATATGGGGGAAAAAAATACAATATTTTTTGTGCAATATGCAGAACTGAACAAAATAGGCAATTGCATGTGTGACTCATAAATCCATGGCTAAATTATACCAATTGTGCAACAATCAGTAAATATTCAGTTACCTGTTCTGCATATTTGGCAGGTACAAAAATAGGCATTTACTGAAATGACAGCGCTGGTTTATTGGAATTATTAAAAGTTATGTCTTTAGTGCTCCATGCTAAATATGTTAAGTTTGCAAAGTATGACAAAAGAGCTCAGTCCTATAAAATGCTGCGTTAGAAGGAATATTGGTTTTCTTGCTATGCAGAGAGACAATTGAGCCAAGTCCTGTCATGAAACTCAAGAGAACTGGGGGAATATCAATGTCGAAAAGTACTCTTGTGAGTAGCATAATTAAGGGTTTTGTTTATCAGTTAGGAAGCAGGAGGATGTTTCAAGAGGTAATACCACAGAAACTCAAAGCAAAAAAGGGTAATGAAGCTCAAAACAACTTGTCTTCCTCACAGACTGAATTGAGGTGTGTGTTTTCTTTCTCTAAATGTGCCTTAGCAACTTGATCTTCATTCAGTGAAGAATTTGTTGATGCTTCTGAGAGTCTATTTGTGTGCTCTCTGAGCCAACCAAATCGTGTTTAGATGCTGGGTTTATCCCCTTTATAAATGATGATGTTTGGGGGCTACATAAAATTCGGAACTTCATGCTTGTTCTTGACTCTCTGAAAATTACTTTTAAAAGCATTTTAAAAGCTACTTGGTATTGAAATGAGGAAAAGAATATACATTTGGCATCACTATCAAATTTATGAGTATAAGCCACAAAGAAAAATTTGCTCTTTATTGTTGCTTTCTGGTATAAAAAAAAGATTCCACACTCTCTGAAGTCTATGGAAGAGAAGGTCCTTTGTGTTTCAGTGCTTTTTGGAGAGCAGAAGGGAGTAGACAAGGAAAGACTTGGCATTACATTCAAAAATACAGGCTTTCATTTCACTTTCTTTGGGGGAAAGGAGAGGAATGCTGATTTGCAAAAAACTTAAAAGCGGGGTTTTCATCCTTTAGCAAGATCCAGAAAAGATCTAATAAATTTATTAACAAAAAAAATAAAATCATCTTTTCTACATGAAAATATTATAAAAAATTGACCACATCCAGTGTTAGCAGTAGTGTCTGTCAGGTTTGTGTCTTATTAAGTACAGCAAATAATACCCCTCTAGTTTGCCATATCATTTGTGACCCTGCAATGACAATGAAGGGAGAAGAAAGGAGAAAGACCCCGGGACACATCACATGGTTATACAGTCATGGTTGTGGAGTTCTAGCAAATACAAATGAATTCAACAACTTAGGTGTGCAGGATGGAAAAATAAGTGAAAAATCAGCAGATTTATCTGGATGAATGACTGAAAGAAACATGGGAATTTTTTTGACAAGAAACTGGTGATAACACATTAGAGAACACTGAGGAGGTAGTAAACAAAGATGGTCAGTGATTTGCAGCTCGACATTCTGCAGAAAAATTATTGTCATTTAGTGCTGCAACCAGTCTCCAGTAAGTTTTCTGCCATTATGCATCAAAGAAATATCCACAGGAAGAGAGGATACCTGCTTTGAAGTCCTTACTGTCTATTTTAGGGCATAACAGTGAATAGAGTAAACACAGAAAAACTGAGAGAAAGGAACATGACAAGACAAAGCAAATTCAATTTAATAATTCTTTTTTAACACTAATAACATGTAAGCATCCCTTGAAATAAAATACGTTGAAAAACTGACTAAAACTATGTGGGAAATATTTGCCTGTTTTTGTGAAAGTTAGAAAACTCAAGTGTTTTCACCTTTTGCATGAAAATCTTTTCAGTGTTTGGTTATTTGTTTTTAATGAAAGAAGAAAGAGAAGATCACACCCAACAGTTGCTGAGCTCAGGCAAAGTTTGGAAGTCCCAGGTTCAAGTATCTGCTAAAACTAGTGTTTGTTTATACAAAGTGTAAACAGAGAGGACTCTAATTGCATATCAGCCAGTAGCTTGGTGGTTAAGTTTTTATCTGTGGTGTGAAAGACATATCAAAACTCACACTGAATCAGGAAAAACAGACTTGACTGACTCACCCACCACCAGCAGGCTCTGGAACACTGTTTTTTCCTACAATAAACTCACTCTCCTCTCTCAGAAGAAACTGCATCTTTGCTGAAACCTTTCTGCCAAAACTAGCATATATCTCACAGTGAAGAGTTCTGGTTTCAAAACACTGACCTTTTCAAGTGAAGATCCATTCTGTTGAAACATTACTGAACTACTTCAGAGCTGTATCTTTACCTTGTGAGGAATTAGCTGTTTGTCGCAACTTAGCATGTTTTGTTGTTTTCCTTTTCAGAAAAAAAATCTAGAAGGAAAATACAAAAAGAAGTTAAGGGGAAAATTCAATCTAAATTGGGTATGCCCTAATAGCCTGGAACTTTAAATTCCAAAAAGCAACTCAAATTCTGAAGCCACTATATTATAAAAAGACTAAAAACTTCCCTGCTGAAATTTTATACTCTTTTAAAACTGCCCATGAAATTGTGACTCATATCAGTCATGTCTGCCTCTGCATTTACTTAATGCAAAGTCACCCATACATCTTGGCAGTACATTTGCAATGTTGTCTGCTGGCTCTGTTAAAAGTAAATAGGGTAAAATAAAATAAGATGTTGCAGATTTATCATTATTCCTCCAGA